GGAAAAACTGATATCGTTGTCGAAAGATCACAATCAGTGCTTTATGTTTTAACTTCTAATTGTTATTGTTCTTATTTTCAAATCTGAACCACGGTAACAAATCGAAATTTAATTCGCGAGGAAGTTAAGATTAGACTAAAATCGGGTAATGTTTGCTACCGTAAAATTCATAATAAGTTTTCTTCTTGCCCACTATCTAAAAACGTAAAGATTAAACCGGTATCCACCTACAAGACTTCGTGGTATCATTACCTAAAAGACCACAAACAAAATTTTCATTAGCACGAAAAGGTTAAATCTGTTTTTACCCAATGTTTGTTTCGGGCTTCAGGAACGCCATATAACCCACATCTACCCTTGGGAATGATCCTCATAGAATTTCTTTTGTTGGTGTCGCAGAAACATCACATCAGCTTTCTCCTTTTCTCACGGAGCACAATGTTAATGCAAGTGTAAGGCTTAAGGAGAGAGTCCGCAGTGGCGTGAGTAACAATTGTGTGGTGCGGAGGTCAGGGAAAAATTCGCGCATGGATCCCAGGCCCACAGATTCAAGGCCTACTACATCAGGGATGTAAAATACTCTCAAGGATTTCATTCGTCTTGTTCATAGTCAAACTAGAGAATGGTTTATTTCTAAAGGGTTCTGACGATGGTGGATTACGATTAAAATTGTTCATTGTCTGGACTTTTTCCACCGCTCTTGTCTAAAAGAACAATCCACGAAGATTTCTGTCTTCTGGGTTGTTGCGCTGTGTTGCGATTCATCGCCCTGATGACGGAGGCAGTATGACCTCTGAAACGTTGGTTAACATCGACCAGACTACACAGCGCAACAACCCAGAAGACAGAAATCTTCATACTCACCGGTGTGAAAACCTCAAATCTTACAAAAATCCACGACGTTTCGGAAACTGGCTCTGTTTCCGTCTTTAGGCGAGAGGTACCTACTCAGTTGTTTCCGTTGTATAGAGCTAGTCTCCATCCATCCAGTGATGGAGACCAGCTCTAGGTGATTGACTGTTACATAATAAGTAATTTAGTATTTAAGACAGGCATTGTTCCGGTACTGAAATTTGTGATACTCTGATGGGCTGGGCGTGTAGCTAGGTTGGAGATAAAAGGAATGTGTGCGGATGTTTTCTGTAAGAACGTCTTGGAAAACGGTTTAGCAAATAACAAAGTCCCGTGGTATACTCTCTAACTTGACCAGTTGATGGCTATTCGTGAGGCCAAGAATTCCTCCAGATTTTATGGAAACTGAATTATAAATTAATTATTTCTAATCATAGTCGTCGTCAAGGAACAAAATATTACATAAAAATTTTATATTTAAAAAATTCTTAACAATAATAATTAAATGTATATTGATCGATATTAACGTACGTGTAAGACTTTAATCAGTATTTTTTTATAAATCGTTTTCTCTTTACAATGGTAGGTGTATTTAATTATAGGCCTACGTTTGCAAATTTAACCTTTGCGCTAACTTCGCGCTATATTCTGTAATAAACATTAATTTATCGATCTACGTTTCGGCGTCTTCTGCATTTAGATGGTAACGTTCAGAGTAAATCAGATACAACAATCATTAGCAAACTGCGAATTTCAAGAATCGACTGCTGTGGCCAGTTCTGCCAACAGTTATGTAATTGGTTTTGTGTAACCTCTGTTTTTCTTGTATATACTATAAAAAAAATCCTGTGACTTCCGCACCAGGAGGTCTAATTGGTGCTGGGAGCTAGGTTGCAGTGGCATGTGAAACCAGTTCACCATTCTTGTGACACTTCTTAATCTTTTATGTCTAATGTAGGAAACGTGTGCTTTTGTAGGGACATACTGTGTCGTTGCTTTTATGAACTCGTTTAGGTTTTGATCAGTGTCGCAAATCGCATAATACCCAGTATCCGGCAATCCCTGAGGCCTGACAACTGGGATGTGTTTTCATAAACATAATAGGTATTGGTATTGCTGTCTCTGCTATCCAGGGCACCGCGGAACATCGGTTGCGCATCGCTGCCATAGTACATGATCATATATAATTTTTTGGAACGTGCAGAAATTACTGTAAAATTATTATTTTCATTTTTCCAACGACTTGTATCCGACAGTTATTACCTGGTACACTTAAATTTTACGGTAAGATTTACAGTCAATAGAATATGTGGCACTTGTCAGTCAATCAGCAGACATAAATCGAGTTTTTTATTTAAATTCTTTGCAATGAAGAAAATAAATGAGCTGGTAGTAGCAGGTAACAAATTAACAAATAATTTCGAGCGCCCGAATGTGACCTGCGGGTTGCTAATAGGGCAACACTGTTTAAGCTATTGTATCTTAACAAGGTACCGGCTATTTTAGTTCAGATCCGCTGGTTAAACAGTGTGTCACAGCGTCGAAAATTGTACACTTGTATTTTGTACTCACTGATGATTCAACGTTCCATCTGTCTTATGAATAACTAACTGCTGCATGGTATGGTGTCTTCGTGAGCAGCTGATAGTTGCACAAACATTTTTCATCCTACTTGAAGTTACGTCACAGTGTTCGGGATATTTCCACACCATAACCTAATCTGAGTGAGTTCAGTCCAGTCCGGTTAACTTCATAACATATTTCTTTCATCTACAGTTGGGATCCAAGTCATCTGTGTCCCTTGCGTTAATATGAAGACTACATTTTATTCTGTATTTTGGAGCTTTATCTTCGTTATCATAACCAGGTCCCATTGTAGTCTGGTATTTACATACAGGTGTCGGATAATATTTCAGGCCTAAATAGCCATAGAATCTGATGCATAAGTAAGCCCTCCCTGTTCTCAAATGAATATTCTCAATCTGTCTTCTTCTCTCGGAATGAAATACCAACTTACATTCAAATAAAACAAGTTATATCGTTCAAAATGGCTGTATTCTATGTTTTTGCACTGTGTAGTCTGGTAGAAGATTACCGACGATTCAGAGATGCTTTATCAGAGCAATGATAATCGCCCAGATGATGAAGACGGCATTGGCACACTTCTATAGACAAGGGGCGGTTCTCCAATTTGGGGGTTGGGCGGAGTTGTATCAACCAACAACTCTAAAATATCGGAATGTTACGCAATGTGACAAAAGGCCTCGGACTTGATCCTTTGACAGGTTCTGGATAGCGTCCAGCAGAGAATTTATGGAAAAAATAATGAAATGTCTTGGTTCCATAAAGGGCGGAAAATTGTTGGACGAACTGAGAGACCATACGCGTCTCAAGGACTCCTCTCCTTAGAGTCAGTCGTTAATGAGACGAGGGGATGCAAATTCTGTGCTGCGTATCACATGCCTTCTTAGGCTGGTCATGCACAGACCAGGTGAATGATTCTGGTTTCATATAATAAGTTTTTATTTCTTACGATCAACACGCAGGAAATTTTTGAGGTTCTCAAAAGATGTTATTCTGTGTTGTGACGCCATGTAGACTCGCACATACCATCATTTCGGAGAAACATACTGTCTTTATCTTTATGGCTGAAGATGGCAGCCTTCCCAACGAAACTAAAAGTGCTTTAAAAAAGTCTGACTCACTTCTGTGTTAACAACGATTGCGCAACATCGTTTCACCTAGCTTACAATTTAAGAGAATGTCATTTTCGATTAAACCATAGTTCCCAGTTTTTGAAACCGATTATGCAGCGAGTTTCCTATTTGCATGACCCGCCCTAATTTTGTCAAAGAAAGTTGAATCTCTTGAAACTCAGCATAGGATTCGGTATCTTAACAATTTAGAAACACCAGGGGCTTCGGTAGATTGCACCATAAGGCGGAAAAGGAAATAACATTGCGTCATGTTACGATTAACATAACGTAACATAACTTTTGTAGTGGTACAAGAATACAAGACACAGAGGATTCAAGCAAAACATACGTCAAAGAGAAAGAACTCAGGAAGGGACGCAAGTAAGAATTGTTAGAAATTAAAAACGAACTTAATAACATAGATATAACTTTAAACATGCCAGATGTAACAGCGTAACAAAAATTGGAAACGAGAAACCATCTGATTAGACACGTGTACCTGTTTCGAATAGCAACTTACGTCAGTAGTACTATCCGAAGCAATTGAATACAGCTCGTCTCTAACCGGATTCGCCAATGTTTTGTAACAAACCGTTTGATGGTATTACTCAGAATTTGCCTGAAGACACTTCTGAGTTCAGGTAAACTTGTCTGGAATCGAACCAGAGTCCTTCCCGGTACTATGCGATCTGACCCAACGCTTTGTGATGGATCTGTACATCGAGGAATGTCTGCAACGAGAGCTTGTATTCTTTCTGCCTTCCATGATTGTAACACTAGTCGATCTTGGTCATTTCATAATTATAGTGCTTTTGCTACACCGTGATTTCTGACGGAAGTGGCATCAACTTCCTTAAGATTCTCTCTTTAAGTTCACTCATGTGGCAGCAGGACACTTAGGAGACAGATTAATAATTGACATTTTAATTTCTCACGGTGACGAGTATGAAGATGGCTTGTCTTCTGGGATGTTATGCCGTGTCGTCTGGTAGAAACTGACCGACATTTCAAAGGTGCTTACAGCACTTACCGTCACCCTGATTATGGTGGCAGCAGCGACCTCAGAAACGCTAGTAAACTTCCTCCAGACTACACGGCGCAACAACTCAGAAGACAGTCATCTTCGTACTCACCACCGTGAGAACCCCGAATCCTACTTCGTTTTCCTTTACTCGATATTAAATTGTTGTTAGATCTGCTTAAAGCAACAAATTTATAATGCACAAAACATGCCTTCTATTCTAAGAAGATGTACACAAAAATAAGTGTTAATCGTAGGACCTGACGTTAGAAAGAAAACACAAATACTATTTTAAAGTTTTGGGAACACAAGATTAGTGTCGTCGAATTAACATGAAGAATAATGGAGACAGAAGTTCAGGATTCTTCTGTGTTAAGTGTTTATTATTTTGCTGTGTTCGGGCTTTGCATTTGCCTTGTTCTTTGTTCCAGTGGAGCTGAAGGCATCGACTGCCGTGGCATCCAGTCGTACCTTCGATAGTAATTGCGATGGCCTGCCTCGTCAAGGAGACTTACTTGCCCGAGGCGGGAAAACAGTGATTCATCCACCTGTGTGTGTCGACTGCATCAATAAGGTATGTTCGCTTCTTACAATTCTGATATTGTTAAGAGTCCTTCAGAGTCCTTTAGGATCCTTACTACAGACCTACTACAAGGTCGTTCCAGCTATCCTATTGTAAGTGTGAACAAATTTTAATGGCACGAACAAATTTGTTCCACGTTGTCATACATGTGCACCGTTTAAAGATTATATCCAGTAAATGTGGTAAGATTTTAGGTTCTTATGGCGGCAAGTAAGTATTATAGAAAACGGGAAACGTATAACAATCGCCATTTTATATTAAACAGGCGCCAGAATTCCTTACCTGCACCATATCCCCTGGAAAGCCTATATAGTTCGAAGGAGGCTTTAAGATTTTGCCGCGGATAGGATATTGATGCTTCGCGTAATATTGAAATAAAACCGCGATATGCAAAAAAAAGAAGGAGAAAGCCGGTGTGACGAGTCATCTGTAATGTGTTAGTATATTTAATTATTGTAATTGTCATATTTAAGTGTGACAAATTTCAAATATTTTGGGAACAACAATAACAAATGAAAATTATATTCACGAGGAAGTTAGGAGGAGACTAAATTCCGCAAATGCTTGCTACTTTTCAGTTAAAAGTATTTTGTCTTCCCGTCTGATTTCTAAAAACCTGAAGATTAAAATATACAAAACAATAATTCTGCCTGTTGTTTTGTATGGGTGTGAAACATGGTCTCTCACTCTGAGGGAGGAACACAGATTGCAGGTGTTTGAGAATAGGGTGTTGAGGAGGATATTTGGGCCTAAGAGGGAAGACGATGGGGCGTGGAGAAAACTGCATAATGACGAGCTTAAAAATCTGTACTCCTCCCCCTGTATTGTCAGGGTGATTAAATCGAGAAGAATGAGATGGGCAGTTCATTAGCGCGCATGGATGGGACAAGAGGTGTGCACCGGGTATTTGTTGGGAAGGCTGAGGGGAAGAGACCGATGGGGAGACCTAGACGTAGATGGGAGGATAATCTCAGGCGGGATCTATGGGAGATATGAGTTGAAGGAGACTGGATTTTGTTGGCCCAGGACAGGGTCCGGTGGAGGGCTTTGGTTAATACGGTGATGAACCTTCGGGTTCCGTAAGCCATCCAGTTAGTTAGTTAATTGTCATATTTAAATGCTACGAATGTTTACATTCTTGTGTCAACATTTAATTAAAGGTATTTATAATCATAATTTAAACAGGATTTATTGGTCAAACATATACACACGCTTGCAGTTTTATTACTACTTTGATTTCACTGCATTTGTTTAAAGTAAATTTTATGTTCAGTTGTAACCTAATGATTTTATCCGCAAACGCGCTATGGCCCGACACATAAGTCGTAACTGCAGGCAACCCTAAATTCCTGTGGAAGAAACGTTTGGCTAATTTGAAGTGAATATAATTGTAATTTAAATGTACAGCCCATACTCTTAGTGAACAAATATTTTAATAGTCTTATGTCGATATTCTCGTATTCGAACCGTTACGTTAACCTTGTGTAGCTGCAATCCGCAGAAAGTGAAATGTTTTAGTGCCTTAAATTAATTTTAAGACGCCATTGCGTGCAAATATTTACCACACCCACGTGATCTACCGTTTCTGTTTTATAGCTGTAGGTCATAACGACTCTTACACAGTCAGATGGACTATCAACTTCATCCATTAGACGCAGCTGTGAGGTTGTGCACACCTTGTTTGAGCCACCGCCCCTTAATCTTCCGCAACTTTCTATCCTGATTTCAGACATTTGAACTGAACACAACCTCAGATTTTGTTCAGCGTTATGTGTTGAGGTAATTTTAAAATGATAGACACGAAATAAATTCCCTTATATTAATTTCCAGAAATCTTCGACCAGATTTACATTTATCCTTAAGTCGTTGGTAATATGACGTGTTTAAAATGTCACGCGGATTTTTTCATGTCACGAAGACACGCATAAAGAATTTTAAATATTATGGATTGAACACTCATTACTTTGATTTCGAGCTTAGACTTAACTGAACATTGAGATTCTGCTCACAAAAATTACCCTTGTTGAATAATTAAACAGTGGAATGAAGGTTAGGATTCAAGTTTGTTACTTTAAACTGGTTAGCTTATAAATATAGCACCTTGCAAATTTACAGTGCGAAGCTTTGAAGCGTATATAGAGGAAATTGATGTAAATAAAGTATTTTGTCTATGGAATGTATAATAATTTATAAGAATCTCTTTCGTTATTTAGAAGTCATACGGAATCTTCAGTTTTGCGTTAGTGATCTGTGTGTGAGATTTGAGGTTTTCACGGCGACAAGTATGAAGATGGCTATCTTTTTGGGATGATGTACTATATAGTCTGGTATATATTGGTTCTGAGGCGCTATCGTCCCGATAACGGAGACAATAGGCTTCTCTGAAACGTCGATCTAAATCTAACAG